TAGCAGCTCCCCCACACACCCCCCAAGCATGGTGCATGTTCAGTGTCTGTTTGCTTTGCAGATGTATATTATGTCATGGCAAAGTCATCAGTGTGACTGTTCTTCCATACAAATATTGTTAATTAAATTATGTGTGTTATTTGTCTGGCATGCTAAATTAGACCAATTGCAAGCAAAGATCTCATCCTTTTTTGGTAGAAGGAAGAGATCTTCTGCAGCTATATATATATGAATATATATATGTATAAAAATGGACAGACTATACATAGCAGTATTTTGGGGAAGTATGTTATATATATATATATGAGTATGTAGAACAAAGTATTAATGTTTTATTATAGCATATGCACATAAATGCCAATTAGCTAGTTAGCACGTACCAGTGTGCTCTTCTCAGTATTATACAGGATACTGCAGGGTTTTTATTAACCTCTTTACAAAATCAGCTACTGCCTATAGCACAGAGCAGAGAAGGTGTGCCTTTCAAAGAGTGGTTGATGGTTGACATTACGGTTGTATATGGTCTCAGTATAATTTGAACTGAGGAAAATATAAGTGCATATAGAGGCTTTGTTTTTTTTTTTCTTTTTAAGCTACTGTTCTCTGTTATTTTGGTGGTAAAAACACTGACTGGGTGCTTTTTTTTTTTTTTTTTTTTTTTTTTGTCCAGTGAAGGTTGTGGTGCAGAATTTATACATAAAATAACTCAGCAGAATAACTTATTAATCTGTTGTCACTGCATCTAGTAAATACAGAATTTATTCCATAAGCAAATTTATATATTTTGGACAAATACCTGAAGTCAAAGTCATTGATCTTAGCATTAAGAATTGCATCAAGTATGCTGAGCCAGGAAAAGAATACAGTGAATGCCACCATCAACATACAAATAAGGGCTATTACTTAGCAAGATAGAAGAGTTGCCTTAGGAAAACAGCACATATTAAAAGACAGACCAAGCTGTACAGTGGAAATTAAAGCATCTCCATAAATTCAATACAATAAAAAATAGCAGTATACATGAACTGATACCAAAGTTACTGTAGTCACTTCATATTTCAGGTTTTTTGATCAGGAGCTGTTACACCTTTATTAGAGGAGGGCTTTCAAATCTACTCAACTGCTAAATGATGAAGGCAATTCAGAACAAATATTACAGATGTCAGCCAGGATTCACCACTGTAGACATTCTTTGAAATACATATACATCTAGTACTTTAAGGGAGGGTCTTGGTCTTTTTTAGGTGACTTTTTGTTGAAGAGCTCTTACAGTTCTGAACAGTGGCTTTGTGCATGCTACTTTCTTTTTCATAGGAAGACCTCTAAATTAAACTAGTGAAGTGATCATGCTGCCTACAGCCTAGAGAGCAACCCTGATTTTTTGTAGCTATCTATCTGAATGGGTTCCAGCTTGCTAACCTACAGCAGGACTGTAAACTAGAGGCAGTGAGCAAACGTCCAGTGTTATCACATGCAACTTAATATATCTGGTGTATCTAGACCACCTTTATGGGAAATCTAATGTGTTGAATTTTCTAGAATTACAACAAAGTTACAGCTTTGCAATGGCACACGGTTTTTAGGGGTAGGAAAAGTGAGATGTAACAAGATATGTGACAGTGCAGTGCCACAAATTTCTGCATGAAAAGATCTGAATAGCTGATGCATGCTACTTTAGTGAACTGACAATTACAAGCTCAAAAATCTTAAGCATCTCTATATGCAGCCAATCTTGTACTACAAGCTAGGTATGTACTTCTGCATACATATAAAGTGTTTTTCTGTCAGCTCGTTCTATTTACATATGTGT